ACTCGGAGCATCAAACAACAAAGTGAAACGTATAAAACACTTTAAGAAGTTGTTTTTGGTGAATATAGCATTTTCAGAACAATAAAAGGTAACATGATGTAAATATGTTATGTGTTAGCCGTTAATAGCCCACACAAGTAAAATGCCTCCAATAAAAAAATAAATAAAAAAAAGTGGACATCATTAAAAACCTCAGAGCGCCTCTCTTGTTCACAGCACACTGGCATTGTGGCTGCAGGAGCACACTGTTACGCCCTATGTCCTGCTCTCTATAATTGAACATGATCTAGTACAAAGAAAGGCCTGAGCAGAGCTGCGTCTGCAGAGAGCGTGTAATCCTGGTCTGATGAACCACTGTCTGAGCTACACAAACATGAAAATATGGATGAAATACAATAGTCCAGCTTCATTACCACAGCACATAAAGCCACTTCTCCTCCACCGCACGCTCATTTAGAAGCCTGAGCATTCTATTCATTAGCGACAGTCTGGTTTGTCTCTGTGCCTGGGTTTGTCTTGGAGAAAACAGGAACAACATGCATTATTAAGGAGCTTTTGTGGAGACCAGGCGGCACTAGCTCTGTTGGTCGCTTATCCTCTGATGGTTGGCAGTTCGAATCCCACTCTCAGCTAGGGTTGTCAAATACTGAAAAGTAGACACTAACCAACATTCAAACTAGTATCAAAACTAGATACTGATTGGAGTAGCTACAAAAGTCACAAAGTCAGAAATGAACCTTTGCTGAAGCTTTAGAATCATGTTGAGCTGTATCAGAACAAATATAAGAGCACATAGACCAGTATACACCCATGGACCAACATGGAACCTACCTGGACCAAATTGGAATAGAAAGGAAAGTTTTAATGTTGAATCACATTCAGTTTGATTCAAGACTGAAAGACTGTTTTTTAATTATCACCGTGGTACCATCAATATTGACAACCTAGTGTGCACTATAATATCAAAATCATTATTGGTAGTCAGATCATCTAGCTCACATGAATACTGTTGTTGTGTCCTCAAGCAAGACACTTAACCCACTTGGTCTCAGTGTTATGTGTACACTGTGTGTGTGTGTGTGTGTGAATGAATGGTTCCTTGATGTAAAGCACTTTGAGAGTCTTGAAGGTAGAAAAGCACCTTAGAAACCTGAACACTGACCATGTTACTACGTTTGTGTGTAGAAACCTGAACACTGACCATGTTACTACGTTTGTGTGTAGAAACCTGAACACTGACCATGTTACTACGTTGTGTGTAGACACTGGGCAGTGGTCCGTCTGCAGTGACAAGCTCCTGGACAGAGGGGGAGGGGGGATGAAGGAGGGGGATCTGAGCATGTTTATACACCGCTCTGAAGGCAAATTCATCACAAGACGGACGCTGCAGCTATTAAAATGCTAATGTGGGAAAATTTAGATGTTCCCATATATTTGCAATAATTTACACAATGTTGTTATGCTAAAAAGCCCGAGGGATACGAGCAGTTTTAACCCTTTCAGAGCAGCAGCAGCAGGGATGGAAGGATAAGAAAGGAGAGCTCAAAATCATAACAAGATTTTTTTTTTTATCACTGTTAAAATAGACTAAGATTGAGAGCTGTAGACCAACAGATTAAGAGGAGAGAGTATCATGTCAAATTACATGTGGACAGTGGTGCAGTTGATTCTTCCACTAACCAGGAGCTTACTAGTACAAGTCTCACTCTAAGCATGTATGGTCACTGGCTCTCTGGGGTAAGAAAATATCTCTGCCATTGCTCACTCAGTATTGTGTGCAAATTACAGTATAATACAGCCAGACTGCATTGTTATATTCTACAAAGAATTCTGTACAGTCTGTGCTCTTACTGGTTTAAAAAGGTGCTACAATCACAGCTAAGCCTGTGTCACCAGAGCCTTAACCTGCAGATACTGTGTTCATTCTCAGTATATGGACAGACCATGCCTCATGTGAAAGCTCCAGAGGCTGCAGGTACTGGGGTTTAGATAGTGACCATTCAGATCAGACAGATATATTTTAGATTTAAACCAACTGGATTTCAGCACTGAAACTGGCAACCCAAATGAAAGAGTCATGTGAGGCTCATTCTTCATAATCAAGTATAACATGCCAAAATGTCCAGTGTTTTAGTGTCAGTAAGATCTATTTGAAGTGAACACGTTTTCCTCGCACCTGGGAACATGTTGATGAAAATGATTTATTAATGCCTAACATACAGTTTCTTGAAGGTGACGAGGGTTTTGCTAGGGCTCTTTTAAAGATACACTATGAAAGCTTTATGGTGTTGGTCTATCAGTGCATCTCCATGGAGATCCTCTATCAGAAAAGGGGCCTCTAATGAGAAACATCACCGACTGCCCTAATGACCCAGTAAACACAATAAAAAACTTTAGATGTTTTTCCTCCATGTGTTGGATCAATAAGTCAGTGTGATCTGGTTGTGGTTTTCTCACAGTCTGTCCTCGTCCTTCTCAGTCTGAATCTATACCTCATTTGGAACCAGCAGAACACAATATTTATCTAACTGTGACACTGAGCCAACTTTTTATCACCCAAAAATATGACTCCGATCCATCACGTCCGACAGACTGCAAAAACATGTTCAAAGCTCTCCAACCATAGGGATATTAACAACCACATAAAGCCTCATGTACTGTTATTCATACTGTCAGGATGAGGAAAGCACCGTTCATATCACCACACGAAAAATGGATAGTTCTTCCAAACAGGTACTGATGCTAATGGAACTCAGATAATTACTCCAATTATCCAATGTAATCCAAAATTCCAAATCTAAATTCAGGTCATTGCTCTTTTACATAAGAGCGGGTTATTCAGTTAATCATTCATTTTGATCACTGGATCAGCATTCACACTAAATCTATGATCATTAGGATGCAGCCCATTCCAGGGGTCCTTCTGTACTCACAGCCTCTCTTCTACTGTCACACTTGTCTTGGGGCCTTGGAGCAGGTCTGTATGGAGCAGCTCCCTCCAGCACAGTTGTGTTTCTGTGTTCTGTGGTCTGTGTACAGGGGCAGAGGCTTTGCTCCGTGTGACTCTCATGTCACCCAAACAGAACTCAAGTTTATGAAATTAAATCAAAATGGTGTCTGAATGATACTGTTAATCTTAAGGCAGACCTCAGCCCTTCACAAAAAAGATGTTTAATAATTCCCTGTTTGTGGTGCTGTGATGTGGCTAAAGCTAAAACCTGCCTACAGTGTGTAACCATAGACTGTCATCAGGTTTCTCTACATTTATTTCATTTCTCTGCTCCTCTACAAGCTGCTTCTACCTCTCTTTGTGTAGTCTAGAGGGTTTGGCTCATGTTAGATGCATTATAGACTGGAAATATAGTTTTGATCTCGATGTGAGTGCAGTGCATCGATAAACAGGAAACAGCTGGCTAGGTTTATTTTGCAAAGCATGTGGGCTCAACATAGAAGTCACATCAGTGGAAAAATGGCAGTTTTTCAACTTTGAGTGATTTTCAGTTTATATCTATATGATGGTCGTTTACCAAAGTCCATATTATAAGACTTGCACTATATGTTTTGGGTCGTGTGCTGATACTGGCATGCTGCTGCTCCTCCAGTGACTGGTGAGCCCGTCCCAGGTCCTAACCTCACCAGACCCTCTTGGCAAACTAGTAGTACCTCCAGTGGTAGTACCTCCACTTAAACAGGGCTGCACTGATCACTTGGCGTAGTGGAAGCACTCTGGGTCCACAACACTCTGCTCCGTACCACTGCGTACTGCTGCTATGGAAACTACTCTGGCTATTAGGGCTCCTCCCTGTGCACTGTAGGAGCCTGGAGTGGGGCAGAGTGGCTGTCTGTGGAACAGACTACAAATACCTGTCTGCAGGGGCGTAGTACAGATACTTGTTAGACCAATCACACTGTTCCACTGTTATTTGAGAGGGATTTGTTAAACAGCACAAATCAGCTCACCTGTTGGAATTCAAACCAAGTCTATTCCTTCTGGTCAGACTGAGTTAAAATAAAGCCACACAAAGCCTCAGACAGTGCAGTGCCATTAGTTAGCAGTAAATGTTGATTACATTAGTGTTAAAGAGTTTTTCAAATGCTGTATAGATGCTTCTTTGTCTTATTATTATTATCAAAGGGTATTTCTCAAAGTGTATTTCTCACGGGAAAACCAGTTCCTCATTATCTGTTATCTTCCGCAAGGACAGTCCTCCCTACACACATCCCTCCCTACACCTCAGCAGCTGGCACACACACACAATACACACTTTTATTCTCTGTGTTTTTTACTGTGATAGAAAAATGTAAAAGCCCATTCATTCTTGTAACCTGTGTGATTCAATAAATACATGGCGTTGGACGGCGGCTCTTCGGCAGTTAAGAGCTGTAGCAGCGCCTCTGTCCCTCGCCGCGAGTAAAACCCTGAATTCTGCCTTCTGAGTTTCTTTGTGTTAATATCTCTGTTATTTTCTGACAATTAGCTACAAATATGTATTCAGTGTTTTGCATAGGACTGTGTTTGTATTGGCTTTACAGTAGTAATACCATGTGGGCCAGTCTGAATAACACATATTTTGTATATTGTGTTTCTAAATAGACAGTATCACTAAAGGCATGATATGCAACAAATTAACAACAGAATTAATCAATAATTACTATAAAAGCTACTTATTCAACCCTCTACAGATCAAATCTTATGGTTTTGGAACTAAAATAACAAATATTTCACAACTTTTACAAAGAAAATGATAATATGATAAAAAAAAAATATATATATATATATATATATATATATATATATATACGTGTGTGTGTATATATATATATATATATATATATATATATATATATATATATATATATATATATATATATATATATATTATATATATGTGTGTGTGTGTTTTTAATGATATGTGGATAGTGATTATGGTACCAGGCTGAATCACGTGTAGTATTACTCCTCAGAGCACAGTACACAAGTACGAGTACAAAAGTCTTACCGAGGCTGGTGGGCTTGATGAGCTCGTCCAGCAGGTCGTAGAAGGGCAGCCGCTGCAGTTTGACGTCGGGGTGGACCGGGTGCAGGGGCCCGGAGGTGCCCAGGCGGTGACTCAGGGGACTCAGCTCGTGCTTGCCAGGACCCAGCAGAGACAGGGGCAGGAGGGCGGCGGGCGAGGGTGATCCCCCGTGACCCGCCTGAGCTTCATACGCCAGCTGCGTGAGCCCCGGCAGAGCACCCCCCCCTCCGGCGGCGGCCGGGTGGTGTGGCGGGCTCAGGGGCAGCTCCGTGTGGGACATGATCTTGGCGGGGAAACGGCGGCGGTACAGCTCTTTGATCTTGAGGTGCACGGCGGGGCTGCAGCCGGCCTTCAGCAGGTGCAGGGCTTTGGTGAGCAGCTCGTGTTTTCGGCCATGTTTGTTTCGTCCGGCGTATCCCAGCAGCACCTGCAGCTCCGACACGCGCAGACTCATCACCATCTGCTGCAGAGACAGAGGCAGGGTCAGCATAGTACTACACACACACACACACACATATACATTATGCAATATACTGTTAAAAAAAAACATAGAAAATCAGATACTTATCGATATTGAAACTAATTTTGAAACTAGACACTTTTTTAGCATCAATACCTGCTCAAATGAGTAACAATCATAGGACAGAAATGAACCTTTCTTGAATAGTTTTAGAATGATCTTGAGCTGAATCAGAACAAGTATAAGGAAATCACATTTTATTTCCTAAATAAACATGTTTATTTCACTATAGTGGAGCTGGTAAGGACCAAAATAGTTCACTTTTATGGTACAAGCATGAAACTTTGCAAAATATTTCTGGATATGGAACTAAGTCTAAGTTTTTAAGACTGGAGCTGAGAACTGTGCATGTCACAAAATAGACTACATGAAAGCGAGGCTGGTATTAAAATACTGCGTAATTCTTTTTTATCATTTAATTTGCTTAGTTATCCATTTTGTAATGTTGAACAATTATTCTTTCTAAACTCCAAAGCATTGAGGTGACAAGACTATTTTCCTTGAGAATATAAGGGTTGTGCTGGTTCCCTGTGGTTGAAATCCAAGTTTATAAAATATTTCATCTTTCAAAGCCATATTTATTGTTTTTTTGATAACAAAAAACATTTAACCATCTCTAAAGATCAGTAAGTGTCATATCATATTTCATAATGATAATTAAATGCTGCATGGAAGTGAGGTTTAACCCCAAACACTTAAAGGTGCATTGGGTATCTTTTCAGATGGAGGGACTGTCAGATGCTTTTCTCCATGAAGATGTTATTTCTGAGAAACCCTTGTTCATGCCATTTCTAGGTAGTACACTGAATGACCTTGTACCTAGTACCTTGTGGTACTAAAATTACTTCATTTGACTTCCATTGTCCACACTGAAGCTCAATCTGTGTATTGTCCACATGCAGGACTTGTTACAACCTCAAATGCCTTTTTAAATACGTATTACCAAATACCATACATATGATTCTAAAGAAAGAAAGAAATAAGCTTAGATAGTTTTACACGGCCTTATAATAATGCACTATGAAGTGATTCCATTTTGTAATTACTGTATTGTATTTGCACTGTATATATTTTTTGTTACTGTATGTCTTCATGAGATTCAGTTCAACTATAATATACTTTCTATAGATATTACTGCTTGAAAAACTTTAATTTAAATTAGGATCTGTTGTTCAGACACTGAAGCTCATCGTCTACATCGTATTTGTTATAATCTTGAATACCTATCTCTCTATTTGTGTATGCTTTGTTTACCATATTGCAAGTGGCCTTCAAACTATGCTATAAATTACATTTTCTTTCTTTCCAATACAATGTATATGATTCTAAATTAGACATAAACAAGGGTCAGTTTACACTGTACCCAATTGTGCTCTATGAGATGAGTTTATTTTGTAAGTACTAAAATCCTACAAGATTTTATTTAGTTTTTTTCTAAATGTACTTAATTTTTATACCTATTTTTTGCTTGAAAATATACTTACCTTTGGGTTCACTGTCCAGACACTGAAGCTCATTGTCCTCAGCTCATTGCATTGTCCAGATTTAGTACAATCTTAAATGGCTTCTTTTAAATCTCTCTTTATTTCTGCCTATTCACAGTATTTATCCTTTGGTTACATATTGTCTGTATCCTTCTAACTGTGCTATGAAAAAACAATGTAAGAGTACAATACTTATTTCCCAATACCACACATATGATCCTAAATTCGACATAAAATAGGACAGTTTTACATTGTACAATTGTTGGCTTTCTCTCATAGTTGTTTCACTTTTTTTTCTCTCTCTCTACATATTTTTGGTTGAAAAATTATTTTGAAAAGGTGCATTATGTAACTTTTCTGGTGGAGGCTCCATCAAATGCTTCACAGTATAGTATTAAACCTTTCTATCATTATGGAGACCAAACCCAGACCAAGTTATAGGTCAGATCTGTGGAGAGGCGACCCCGCTCACCGTCAGTGTCTGTTTTTCTAAGTATTTTTGAGCTAAAAAAACAAAAAACAAAAAAAACACCTATAATTGAATAAATGTAAAGTAGAGCTGTTTAATGTCATACTGCGGAACATTTCAAGAAGAGCAATAACATCTCAACAGAAACAAGCAGGCTGTGGACTCCTGACCAAAAAGTTACATAGTTCACCCGCCCAGTTGTAGTACAATGTTAAATACTTTCTTTTAATCTCTCTCTGTTTCTGCCTATTCACAATATCTCTCCATTGTTCACCACACACACTGTATCCTTCTAACAGTGCTATAAATAACCAATATAAGATTCCTGCTTTACTTCCCAGTACCAAACATATGATTGTAAGAATCTTGGGTTACTCATATAAGTGGAAGCATTAGTGATAATGTGTGATAATTTAACATTATTTTCCAAAAAAGGTGGTTTAAGCAGTAATTTTGCTCCCAGCCTAGTTTCCATGTCAGCCATTTTGTGACATGCATGGTACTCGGCTCCAGGGTCAATTTAGGCTTAGTTCCATATCCAGAACTATTGGTCCTAAAGTGTTACTAATCTGGCAAAGTTTCATGCTTGTACGATAAAAGAGAAAAATTTGGCACTTTTTTGGTCCTTAACAGCTCCACTACTATCACTGTGGTAATGGAATCTGATTAAAGGGACAGTTCAAAATTTTGGACATAAGATCCCATTTCCCACTGAGCCAGAGTGTTGGAGACCTGTGGAGACACTTTTTAAAATATTCCATCCAGTCGTTGTATTTGTAGAGGTCACTGGTGCTAGGCTAGCGCATGTCAATGGCCATAGTTCTCCTGCCACTAAAAACAGTCTTACCCACTCCACAAAACACCCAAAGCAAAACAATTGCAATGTCAGACTGTCCATGTGAATGTCTGTGTCGATAGAATAACATTAGATGTAAAGCCAACATTGCATTTGAAGGATCTCTGTGTGAGCAGCAGTAGTGAGTTGTACTTCCTGATAGAAAGCTCGGCAGCGCGGACTGATATATGAGAAAATAGTCCCTCAACTTGTGACAATTCACGCAATGCAAGGTATGTTTTTTTTTTTCAAACATTATTCTGTCAACACAGACATTCACATGGACAGTCTGGTGTAATAATAGTTTTGTTTCGGGTGTTTTGTGGAGTGGGTAAGACTGTTTTTAGTGGCAGGAGAACTATGACCATTGACATGCACTAGTCTAGCACTAGCGACCTCTGCAAATACAAGGACCAGATGGAAGTGTCTTCACACGTCTCCAACACTCTGGCTCACTAGGAAATAAGGCCCTATGTCCAAAATTCCGAACTGTCCGTTTAAGCACGGAGTCTATTTATTAGTATCGAAATCGAATTTGTAAGAATTGTGACAATACTAGTCAATGTAGTGCAGTCCTATTGGTCAGCCCCAGGAAGAAATGGACTCAATCACAGTGAATAGGCAAGAAGGAAATGGCAAAAAAGAAATACATAACTTTTTCCTCATATTGCTCAGTCGATTTTCTTTTCAAAAATAAAATAAAACTGGCTTTTGTTATTGATTTTATGAACATGACAAACAACGACTTCAGATCGGCGCCACTGAGCCCCCTCACCCCCAACCATATCACTGACCATTAGAAAAAAACACATGAGTATTTTTTTAGCCTGCCCTAGTGGTATGTGTGCAGTGATGATAGCATGCGATGCAATAATCAATACTAAATATAGACCTGTCATGATAAAACATATGAAGCACGAGATACTGTATATGGTACAGATATACCGCGATAAAGGATAATACTCAAACTACTTCATGCCACTCATATAAAACAATAATGCAAGATAATCCCAGTAAACCATTTTGAAATAGACAGGATCATTAAATGGCCTGAGCTGCAGCAAATAAACAGCAGAATGAAGCAATAATTATCCACAGAAGTGACTTATTCAACCTTGTGCAGCTCAAATCTGATCGTATTACAACTAAAATACCCCAAATCTCCACTTTTACAAAGAAAAATATATTGTTCCAGCTCCAATATATTGAGCGATAAGTCGATATAGTAATTCTGGTAACAGGCCTAGATAAACTAAAACGAGAAGAACTAAAAGGCTCACGGTGACTAAAGTGAACGATGTAAAAAGCACTGACACAGATGTCCCAGGCAGCCCAGGAGCAGGAGGAGCAGCTCTGTGGGTGGTCCGGGCTCATGTACTGTGCGGAGGTACAGGCACAACAAACACAGCAGCCCCACAGATCCCCTTACACCCACCGGGAAGAGGTGCACCACTAACCTCTGTAAATATTGACCTGCCTGTAGGTCACCAGAAGGTCATGTGAAGGTCGCTATGTGCTAGTCTGGCCAAATAAAGACCTGAAGAGCAAACAAAAGGATTCAAGACTCTAAGTAGGGCTGCGGATGGAAAATGTCATATTTTTTCCAACGTTGATCGCTCATGATTTTAAAGCGTAACTTTAAAATCATCTGAAGCCACTTTTTACACTACTGCTACTAACGGTGGATATGAGCCCGGTCAAGCAGAAGTAAACAGTAAAGCCAAAAATTCAAGTTGATCTGATATAAAAATGTATTCAACAGATAGCATATGTACTCTAGTTTATGAAACTGTTGACCTTTTTTCTGGACCATTTTTGGTTCTAAAGTTACATCCATTTTAAACAGACCATGTATGAAACATGGAACAAAAATTATTTACCAAATTTCAAAGACCTGCAAATCATGTAAATAAATGGATGTATTTCATCATATCTTGTGTTATTCCATCTTTGAACTGTTGATGAAGGTACATGATGTTTCCAAAAAAAATGTATTTAAAATGATAAAAATTTGCTTGGAAGGACTGACATATTTTATAGAAATAGTTTCCTTTCATTTTGAAGTAATATTAAAGTATTCAGAAGAAAAAAGCTGCACCTTCTACTTGTTTGCACAATTTTCCCTCCGTTACTTTTCCCTCCGTTACCATGACCT